GGTCCACTGTGAAATAGGTTCCTGTCTCTGTGTACAAAGTGTCCTTGCAGTAGCATTGTGATGAGCAATGTCGGTGCACTCTGAAATACAACGATGAAATGTCAAAACATACTATAAATGGATCAAGGATGTGCCATAATTAGGCTGGTACGTCAGATGTCATTGGATGCCGGGTGTGTATGGTGTGTACCCTGAGATGTTGGTTCCAGGAGTCCAGGGTAAAGGTCTAGAGGAGCAAGTGACTAGCTAAAGTTACCATTCTGACTTTCAGGCTGGGAATTCCCAGCATCTAGTTTCTGTCCAGTAGGTAGAAGAAAGGGGAAAACACCATATTTACAGGCAAGTTTAAGTAACAATCAGACATTAATGCATGCAGATAGGTCTCCCACTAGTGAGAATATTGTCTCTTCACTCATTATTTGGTTGGAAAGTTAGATATTTTGCTCTTGGTATCAAGAAGCTCCACATTGGACATCTCACCCAATTTTTTCCAGCTCTAGTTCTTGCTACTTTGTATATGTTGATTTTTGATAGGATATCCTCCTTTACCACTTTTGTTTATCATGGTACTGCATTCTTCTCAAGTCTTCATCTTTGCTTGGAATAAATTTTTGCCCAGTGTTATGAAATATCTGCTGAAATTTCAGCCACTGCTCATCTGCTGACCACCTTCTCAGTCTATTTTCCTAGCCTGCTTCGGACAAATCTATTCAACCCTTTGTAACTGCCCTTATTTTAGTTGAAGACACTGGTTTGAGAACCAAGTTTTTACCCTCAAACTGAATTTAAACTTTTACCATGTTTAGAATGTTTAGAACCTCTATGCCCAAGGGATCCTAAACTACAAGATCTGCTATTAATCCTGCTTCATTACACATCACTATATCTAAAATAACCTGGGTTCTGCAGTGTATTGTTCCAAGAAACAGTTCGTTGATGCATTCTACAAATTCATCCTCCACATTAGCCTTGCCTATCTGATTTGTACAATCAATATGCAGATTAAAATCACTCATGACAGTTGTAGCCCCAGTCTTCCATGTGACCATTACTTCCTGATATAGTTAGGGAACTCTTTGGGGGCCTTTTAGATGATTCTTACCCATGACTTCTTTCCTTTGCTATCTTTTATTTCTACCCAAATTGAGTCTGCATCACCACCTTTGCAGTTGTATCATTTCTTAATCATTGCATTGGTACCCTGTTTTATTAACAACACTACGAAACCTCCTTTTCCTTTTTGCCTATTTTTCTGAAATGTTGAATACTTTTGAATATTGAGTTAACTTGAAACCATGATGCTAATAGCTATCCAATCATATTTGTTTATTTCTACCAGTGCTGTCAATTCTTCTATGTTGTTACAGATGTTGCATGCATTCAGATATGGAGCCTTAAGCTTTGACTTATTACTATTATTACTTATTTTGGTTCTAATTTCTGCTGCACTCTTCTGTTTATATTTTCTGACCCTTCATGACACATATTATCATTCACCTCTTCACTACCTTGCATGTTTGTTCTTGCGTTATTTAACTTAAATCCTCCCGCCATTAATTAGTTTAAAGCACCACCTACAAACCTCATTGATTTGTCAGGGCTCTGGTCCCAGAGTGGCTCAAATGAAGCCTGAACTAATGAAATAGTGCTGTCTTTCCACAGTACAGGTGTTAGTGCCCCAAAAATCAGATCCATTTTTTCACACCAATCTTCCAAGCAGGTACCTCTCTAACTTCTTTGCATGTGGCTCAGGTAGTAATCTTAAGATTATTACCTTTATGGTTCTACTTTTTAATGATACTGCAAGCTGTTTGTAATCCCTCAACAGACCCTCTTTCCTAGCCTGATCTATGCCATTGGTACCTAAGTAGACTATAACAGCTTGATTGTTTCCTTCCCACTTCATGTTCCCCTCAGCCTAGAAGAGATGCCTTGAACCTTGGCACCTGGCAGGTAATCCAGCCTTTGGGATTCTGTCTTTGCCACTGAAAACTGCATATATTCCCCTAACTATGCTATCCCCATTACTATTGTATTTCTGTTTTTAGTCTCCCTACTGTATGCCATAGTGCTTTGTTCAGTTTGCTTATCCTCTCTGCAGACTGCTCTTTCATCCAAAATGGGGGAGAGAACCTCATGCCTGTTGGAGAAAGGTCTGAGGGTCCTCCAAATCTTAATTCTGGATCTCAATATCTGTCTTCCTCACAGTCACACCCTCCTGTCCTTGAACAAAGACCGAATTAAATGCCATTAAGTGGGAACAACTTTCTCCTGAAAGTATGCAGATAAGTCTCTCCATCCCTGATGTGGCAGTATTTACAGTCTGAACTCCAGCTCAGCAGCTCTGAGCCCAAATTTCTCAACCAATCAACACTTGTCGCAGAACACGCTAGCTCCAACATACGTCAACTACAACACATTGTCGACCTGGCTATCTCTGTTCTATTTAAAAAATTAATTTGAATGTTAAATATTTTAAGAGCATTTTTAAACTGTACTGTTCAACTGTAAGAACGTCTACCAATCAAAAGATACAGATGAAATACCCACCAGCCAACTACCTGTTTTCCTGTGACGTCTTGCTTTGGCCCTGAAGGTAGAAACAGGTGAAATAAGTCTGGGAAATAAAACCTGATGACACATTTGACACTGTCCATCCTTAAGCAGGTCTGCTCTCCCAGTCCATTCACAGTGATGCTGATGTGATGCATACTCCTGGTCCCAGACATTAATATTCCATTAAAATAGTGGGCAGAACAATTTCTTACAGCAATAGAGCAATAACAAATACACCGCGTCCAAGTAGAAATATTTTCACCAATGTGTTTGTACTACATGTTCAAATAGAACAGAGTAAGCTTTAATTGTGTTAGTCAATCTGATGGTTTTTCAGCTGCGATCTACCAGAACAGTTACCCCATATTCCATTTGGAACTCCGCTAAGGGGATCAGTAATGTCTGATGAAAGGAAAGAATTTCTAGAAAAAGCAGTCCAGCGGCATTGGGATAAAGTGGCTGCCTTACAATTTCAGGCAAGTATTCCTACTAAAAATGTCAATTTTTTTTCTTGTGTTAACCATTTTGAGAGAAAAGCAGAAACTTATTTTTCTACCTTGCCTTGAGCTATTGACAATTTCTAATTCTTTTTAAGGGCAAACAACAGAAAATAATAGAATTTAGAAACCAAATACCATCAGTAATTGTCATATCTTGGACTGAAAGAACAAAGTCAGATTCACAGAGTTAGCTTTAACAGGGATTTATATGTTTTTATTCTTTTTAATGGGATGTGTGAATCACTGGCAAGGTCATCCTTTGTTGCCCGTCCCTAGTTGATCTTGAACTAGTGGCTTGCTAGGGCATTTGAGAGTCGATGGCATTTCTGTGCTCTGTTTTTGCATGAAAGTCAGACCAGGTGAGGATGACATATCGTTTCCTAAAGGATATTGGTGGACCAGACATGTTTTTACAACAATCAATGACAACTGCCTTGTTTATCATTACAAAGACAAACTTTGTGTTCCAGACTTCTTAATTATTGGATTTGAAACCATATCACCAGGCCTCTAGGTTTACTTGTTCAACGACAAAACCACCACCTCTTCGCCAGTGTTGACCAGGCATCCCAGGGCACATGATGCCCTGTTTTTGTAAAGTGTACCTTACCGTATCTTATTCTAGTACTGCACAATATCTAATGCACAAGCTGTCACTGTCGCAGTAATAATCCCCACTGTCAACATCCTGGTGGTTACCATTGACCAGCAAATGAACTGCGCTGACTGTATGCATACTATGGTTACATGAGTGTGTCAGAGGCAAGGAATTTTGCCGTGAGTTATTCATGTTCTGAATTCCCAGTAACTACCCACTATCGATAAGGCACAAGTCAGGAGTATGATGAAATCAATGAAGAGTTTCCACCTGATTCCCATTGACTTTGATTTGATTTTGCTCAGGCTCCTCAATACCACAGTCAGCCAAATGTGGTTTTCATGTCAAGGTTGGACACCATTGTATCACCTCTGGAATTTAGCACCTTTCTCCATTTGATTTAATGAGTTGTGGAGTCAGTTTGGATTCCACCAGGGCCCAACTATTGGTAGACAGGTTATTGCTGTGTCAGTACCATTTGATGGCACTGTTGATGTCACCTTCCATCAATTTGAGGTAGAACCAATTGATAAGGCAGTAGTTGGCTAAATTGGAATTTTCCTGTTTTTTCTTTGCAAACAGGACATACCTTGGTTTATTCCCCCATAGTTGGGGATGGTGACACTATTGTACACACTACTATTTGTAGCTGTGTTTGAACAGCTTGGCTAGGGATACAGCTGGGGTGTTACCAGGCCTCAAAACCTTTGCTGTATCCATCGCCATCAGATGTTTCTCATCATGTAGATTGAATCAAATTGTATTTATAATTGAAGATGATTGCAAATGCTTCAGATTTGCCTTTTGCACTGATGTGTGGGGCATTCACATCATTGAAGATAAGGATGCTTTTGGAACCTTCTGCACCAGTAAGTTGTTTAATTATCCACCACTATTCATAACTGTATATGGCAGCACTCTTTATTCTTTTTATTCATTCATGGGATGAGGGCATCGCTGGTGGGGCAGCATTTATGGCATAACTGCCAAGAGTCAACCACACTGCTGTGGATCTGGAATCATATGTAGGCCAGACCAGGTAAGGTTGACAGTTTCCTTCACTAAAGGACGTTAGTGAACCAGATGGGTTTTTCTAACAATCGACAATGGATTCATGGTCATCATTAGATTCTTAATTCCAGATATTTATTGAATTCAAATTCCACCATCTGCCATGGTGCGATTTTAACCCAGATCTCCAGATCATTATCTGGGTCTCTGGATTAATAGTCTAGCGATAATACCACTAGGCCATCACCTCCCCTGATCTGATGCATTGGTACTGGGATCACTTAGCTCTATCACTTGCTGCTTCTGTTGTTTATCATGAATGTAGTCCTGATTTTACCCAGCTTTTGTTTTTAGGCCTACCTCATGCTGCTCCCAACATGCTCTTTTATATTTATCATTGAACAAGGGTTTCCCTTGAATTGATAGAGTGAGGGCTATGTTGAGCCATGAGCTTACAGATTGTGGGTTCAGCACAATTTTGCTGTTGTTGCTGATGGACCTCAGTGCTTTACGGATGCCTAAATTTCTTCTGATTCTTCCCCATTTGGATATTATTAGTGACATATAGCACAGTGGAGGGTGACATCATTGTTAAGACAAGATTTTGTCTCCACAAGAAATTTGTGATGGTCACTCCCACCAATATTGTCATGGACAGGTGAAACTACAGCAGGTAGATTTGAGGATGAGATAGAGTAGATGTTTTTCTCTGGTTCACAGCTGAAGGAATATTATGGAGTTGTATGCCTACTGGAAAGGAAAAGTGAGTGGTGACCCTCACTCAACAGAGCTAGTTTTGCCATCCAGAATAGGAGTTTGTACACACTACCAGAATTCCCCATTTGTGTAAATAAAAGACTCATGGCAATTCACCAGCATCTCAGCTACATTAAAGAAAAGTATGTACACCATTAACAACACCTTTATGCTCCGATCCTTAATGCCAGTGAAGATGTTCAGGAATAATTTTATTCTGACCTTGATGAATTCCTCACTGCTATCCCAAGAGAACAAAATATTATTCTTCTGGCCTAAATTAAGGATTACAAGAGTTGGTTATGTGTCCAATTTCTAAAATGGAAACTTTGGGAAAATCGGGGAAAGGCCACTGCAAGTATTGTCCCCTTGCTAGAAAGTGTGTTCAGCACAGCCTCAATATAATTAACACACTTTTATGGCAGAAGTACAAATACAAAAGTACATGGAGGCATCCTAGATCCAAAGCATTAGTAGCTCCTTGAATGTCGTCTTTTGGGTCAAAAATCTAAATGATGTCTGTACTATGTATTTATGGTGAGAATTAATGTCAACTGGATGGATCATAGACTTGTTCAGTTGGTGATGAACATCCAACTCTCACCAAACATCACAAGACCCAGATTTCCAAGAGGATCAATGCCTAGGCCCTAGAGATGCTCATTTGCAGCTGGCGACCAACCTGGAAGACTTTCACATGCTCTTCTTGATGCCAGTTAAGTAAGCATTCAGGCAAAACTTTTGTGAAATCAATGACAATGAACTGGACATCATGCTCGTATGGCCAGAAAGTGTGTCCCTCACCAGGTTGTTTTCTCAGCTCTCAAATGAGCAATCTTCCAAAGGAGGAGCAAGGAAGTACTTCAAAGACCTGCAGAAACTTTGCTTCAAGCATAGCAGTATTGACATTAATGACTGGGAGGAGCTTTCTACTAATCTTTGCAAATGGTGAGTTCATCTGTTATCAAATATGCCATGACCTCCGATGTTGAAGATGTATACACCATATATATTATTACAATATGTTAATGACTTAGATGAGGAAAGTGAATGTACTATAGTCAAGTTTGCACATGACGCAAAAATAGGTGGAAAGACAAGTGGTGAGGATGACTGTTCCTGCAGAGAGATATAGATAGGTTGTGAGTGGGCCAAATCATGGCAGGTGGGATTGCAAGTAGTGAGGATGACTGTACCCGCAGAGCGATATAGATAGGTTGTGAGTGGGCCAAATCATGGCAGATGTGAATTAATATAGGAAAATGTGAGGCAGGAGGAATAGAAGAGCTGAATATTATTTAAATGAAGAAAGACTGCAGAAATCTACAGCACAAGAATTTGGGGGTCTTTGTGCATAAATAGCAAAAAGCTAGTATCCAAGTTCAGTTAGTAATAGGAAAGGCAAATGGAATGTTGGCCTTTTATTTCAAAGGAGTGGAGCATAAAAATAAGGAAGTTTTGCTATAGCTGTACAATGCTTTGGTTGACCACACCTAGAATACTGTGAACAGATTTGGCCCTCTTTAACAAAAAAAGTATACTGGCATTGGAAGCATGTCTAGTGGAGGTTCCTTTAGTTTGATCCCAGATATGAAGAGATTTTCTTTGGAGTGATTGACTATATGGGCTTGTACTTGTTGGTATTTAGAAGAATGAAAGGTGACCTTACTGAAACATCTGAGATTTTTCGGGACTTGAAAGAGTAGGTGCTGAGAAGTTGTTTCCCCTTGTGGGAGAGTCCATGACCACAGGGCATAATTGCAGAGTGAGGGGTCGCCTGGTTAGGATAGAGATGATGAGGAATTTCTTCTGAGGCTGGTAATCTGTAGTGGAATTCTCTATAGCAGAAGGCTGTAGGGGCAGTGTTGTATTTTTTAATTGGTAAGGGAATCAAGGGTTGTAAGAAAAGTAGGAAAGTGGAATTGAGGATTATCAGATCATATGTAACCTAATTGAATGGAGGAGCAGACAGTAGGCCAAAGGGCCTACTTTGGCTCCTACATTTTATGATTCTTGGAGAATTTTGCAAAGTTGACTAGGCAGGGTGTGCCTTTATTGTTTCCAGTGCCTAGATTGATGTCAGATTGTCTGTCTAGTTATATTCAGATTTTCTATCACAATTTGATACAATTGAATCACTTCCGGGACTGTTCAGGAAGGCTGTTATAAATGTCTGCACTAGATCTGGATTCTCACATCAGCCAGATCAGGTAGGATTGATTCCCTAAAGGATACCAATGAAACAGATGGATCTTTTTTGTCTGATTTGATTTAATTTATTATTGTCACATGTACTGAGGTATGATGAAAAGTATTGTTTTGCGTGCTAAACAGACAAATCATACCTAAGATACGTACATCAGGGTAATAGAACAGAATACAGAATATAGTGTTACAGCTACTCAGAAGGTACAGAAAAAGATCAACTCTAATATGATAGTATAAAGTAGGGATGGAGGTTAGATAGACCTTAGGATTAGGGTAAAAGTTCGGCACAACATCGTGGGCCGAAGGGCCTGTACAGTGCTGTACTGTTCTATATTCTATGTTCTGTGTTCTAATACATGAGAGTACCGTTGATAAACCTGATAACAGTGGGGAAGAAGCTGTTCTTGAATCTGTTGATGCATGTTTTCAAACTTCTGTGTCTTCTGCCTGATGGAAGAGGGTGGAAGAGAGCATAACTAGGGTGGGAGGAGTCTTTGATGTTGGCTGCTTTCCTGAGGCAGCAGGAAGCGTCAATGGAGTCCATGGAAGGAGGGCTTGTTTTCCTGATGGATGGGACTGCATCCACAAATCTCTGAAGTTTCTTGCGGTCTTGGACAGAGCAGTTGCCATACCAGGCTGTGATGCATACAGATAGGATGCTTTCTGTGGTGCATCTATAAAAATTGGTAAGAGTCATTGTGGACATGCTGAATTTCATTAGTCTTCTGAGGAAGTAGAGGCATTTGGTGTGCTTTCTTGACTGTAGCATTTACGTGGAGGGACCAGGACAGGTTGGTGATATTTACTCCTAGGGACTTGACGTTCTCAACCACGTGCACCTCATCACCATTCATACAGATAGGGGCGTGTCCTCCACTCTGCTTCCTGAAGTCAATGACCACCTCCTTCATTTTGATTACATTGAGGAAGAGATTGTTGACTTTACACCATGCTGCCAAGCTCTTTCCTGTACTCTGTTTCGTCATTGTTTCAGATCTGACCCACTACAGTAGTGTCATCAGCAAATTTGTAAATGGAGTTAGAGCTGAATTTGTCCACATGGTCGTGAGTGTATAAGGAGTATAGTAAGGGGCTGAGTACAAGCTTTGCAGGGCACCAGCATCAAGGATTGTCGTGGAGGAGGTTGGAATTATGATGTTTAAGGCTGAGATAAAGTCAATAAATAGAAATTGATTGTAGGTGCCCTTGTCAAGCTGTTCCAAGAAGGAGTGTAGGGTCAGGGAGATGTCATCTAGTTTGGACCTATTGTGACAGTGGACAAATTGTAGTGGATCAAGGCAATCTGTGAGGCTGGAGCTGATATGTGCAATGACTAACATCTCGAAGCACTTCATAATGGATGTGACAGCCACCGGGCAATAGTCATTAAGACACTGCCTGATTTTTCATTGACACCAGGATTATTATTATCTTCTTGAAGCAGGTAAGAACTTCACATCATAGTAAGGAGAGTTAAAAATGTCTGCTCTCACCATCTCCCAGGGACTCCATCGGGGCCAGTAGCTTTCTGTGGGTTCATCCTCAAGAAGGCCAATCTGACGTCTATAGTTGTGACTGTGGATTCAGGTGCACCCGAGACTGTTGGACCTTCTGTTTAAAGTGAGCATAAAATGCATTGAGTTCATAGGGGAGAGATGCATTGTTGTCAGCTATTCTACTTGACTTTGCTTTGCAGCCTGTTAGATCATGTAAGCCTTGCTTGCCATAGTCGAGATGTGTTTGTGTGGTTGGTCTGGGACTCTAGTCTGGTATTCTCCCTTGGTGTCGCTGATGGCTTTGCCACGATCGTACCTAGATATCCTGTATAGATCAGGGTCACCTGATTGAATGCCTCAGACATCATGAGTAGAGTTTGGATCTTCTGGTTCATCCATGGTTTCCAGTTGAGGAAGACTCAGATTAACTTCTTTGGTACGTAGTCCTTTTACATGCTTACTGATGAAGCCTGTTATGGTAGTGGCATACTTATTTAGGTTGGGCGATGAGTTCATGAATGTGGACCAGTCCACTGACTCCAAGCAGTCACATAGGAGCTCATCCATTACCTCAGAACAACAATGCATGACTTTCTGTATTGGATCCTCATGCTTCAGTTTCTGCTTGTAAGCTGGGAGAAGGAGCACAGCCTATGGTCTAATATACCAAAATGCAGGTAAGGGATGGAATAGTAGGCGTCTTTGGTTGTGTAGTAATGGTCCAGGTTGTTTGGGCCTCTGGTGGGACAGGACACGTGTTGTGGTATCTTAGTGGCACACTGTTGAGTTAACCTGGTTGAAGTCACCAGCTACAATGAGCAAGGTCTCAGGGTATTCTGTCTCAAGGCTCTTCGTAGTAGTGTATATTTCATCAAGTGCGCTTTTCATTTCCGCACAGGCTGGGATGTGACTTGTGGTCAGGATAGCCGAAGCAAACTCCTACAGCAGGTAGAAGGGACTGCACTTCACAGTTAGATATTCTAGGACCAGGGAGCAGTAGCTTGCCAAGGTCGTCACATCAAAGCACCAAAAGCTGTTGATCAGATGGCAGACTTTTCGGTCCTTTTCCTTGCCTGAGGATGCCATGCAGTCCATTTGGTGGAATGAGAAGAGGAAGCAGGAGTGAGCCATGTCTCTGTAAAACAGAGCACACAGCAATTTATCAATCTGGTTGTTAAGTGATCACTATTAAGGAAAGAGCACTTCAATAAAATGTAAATTAAATTCCACCAGCTGCCAGGGTGGCTTTGAAAGCTTGTCTCCTGAGCATAATATTTCCACTAGGCTACTCTTCCCCAGTCCACAGAGGTGTTGAAGGGGGTGAAGAAAGTTGATGAAAAAAATTGATGGACATGAGTTTGCCTTTGCGTTTTCTGTATTAAGAGAATAAAGTTGTACTGTAATTGTTGATAATTTAACTGGCTCATTAATGTTATCTAATAGATGAAGATTAAAACATGAGTGCATATATTCATAATTTTGCTCTGCCTCCATAACTGACGTGGTGTGGGAATTGTGAATTCCCAGGATTTCTATGATCAGCAATGTATCTAAAGTGTGGTCGTATACCTGTGTATGGTCGTATTCTAGCCACTGCTAAAGTGTGGGAGATTTTTGTCAAGACATCGGTTGTGTTTGCTAACTTTCATACCATCACTTATTGTTTGCTTATTTATCCATTGGTGTTTTTCTGCTTTGATGTAGAGTGCTTCTAGACAATTTCCAAGTTAATGACAGTATGTTTTTTAGTTGTTGCTACATTGTTCTGTTTCATGCAGGTTGCATACACCAGTGAAAGCCCACCTGTTTTATCATTGCCTTACAGCATTTCAAGATGATTTATAGTAAATTCTGTTTGACTTACAGAAAACATCTCCAGTCAAGCCCTTAACGTACAAATTTCCATCAGACTTAAATAAGAAGTCTATTTCTAAGGTAATTCTAAATACTTGCATGTTCTTAATGCAATATTCACATATAATTATAACCATTTCCTGAAATTCACGGTAATTAAAAAAAAAAATTTCTTTATATTTTGCAGGTGATTTCTGTAAATCTGTATAGATAATATAACTAGTTTATTAGTGGTAGTTAAGACAATTTCCAGACATTTTAAACTAGTTTATCAGCATATTTTGCTAACCTTTTTATGCATACGATTCTGTGCACAATACTTTTATAAACAAAAAATAATTTTTGCTTCAAATGTCCAGTATATTTCTGGCAATTTTGCTTACAAGCTGCAGAGAAAAAAAGTTGGTGCGAATATAATGTGCATCTTTGTGTATTTACACAGGACATTGCTTCATCAGAATCTAATCCATTCCCTTTACCTCTTTCCACTCGAAAAAGACGAATTCCATCTTTTTATACCAATCATAACAGAAGATCAGAATCTTCAGAAAAAATTCCCTTGTCCCAGACCAAATACTACAGGTCATCAAGAAATGGGAAAACAATAAGAATCTATGGGAAATCCGTATCTGCTGTAAGCTTGGAAAAACAATCCTACAATTCATTGGATTCTACTGAAGAAGCCATTGTGAACACACTGCTGGTAATAGAACTTTTTTTTAATATTGGTATTTTTTAACTGGCCTGTGCTTCACTATAGCCATTCTAAGATCAGCTGTCAATGGAGATCACTGGCTGCTGATCCCAGTCAACGTGATCCCTGACACCCATCTGATCAATGGTGCTAATAACTCTTATTCAATGTAAAACTCAACACTACAACTTTGCTTCAGTGGACCATCAGACCAACTAGTTACTTAATTTGATGACCACCGCTGTTTGATTGTCTGCCAAACAATGTCCAGTACTGTTACTGGAAAGCTTGCCCAGTGACAGGACTGTCAGGAAGACATCCCAAAGTGGCATCATGCTCTTTCTTTATTTCCATGCTTCCGAGGCAACTTCAAGAAGCCACGAAAGTCTTGGCAATCATTCCAGTACAGACCATTATCCGGGCTACCCAGTGAAGTGCTATTTTCTATAATATCCACTCTTTTAAACCCTCTGGCTCATAGGAAACATCACAACAGAAGTTCTGCTCTATACCCAAATGATGGAAATGTGGACTGCAACCTTATTATGTTTTATAAATCTTTCCTTAAATTTAACCAACTGAACATTGACTGGATTTTACCTTGTTTTGTAATTTATTGTATTTACTTGTAGGCTCCAGTTAGTAAGGTCCAAAATGAAGATCGTATACTACTGCACAGTAAGACCATTATTATTTTTATTCTACTTTTACTATGAATTGTATTGTCTAATTAAGACCTTCAGAAGTTAACTTAAGTGGTTGGCTTTTGGCTGTTGTACCTAAACTAACACAACAGACGCTAAAATAAAGGGGAGTCAGTGGTGCAGTAATATTGTCATTGGACTAGTAATCCAGAAGCCTAGGCCAACGCTCTTGGGACACAGTTTCAAATTCCCCTATGGCAGCTGCTCAAATTTTAAATTCATAAATCTGGAATTGAAAGCTAGTCATAGTAAAGATGAATGTGAAACTTCCATTGGTTATTGTAAAAAGAACCCATCTCGTTCACTAATGCCCTTTTAGGGAGGGAATCTACCATCCTTGCCTGTTCTATATGTGACTCTGGGCCCACAGGACTTTCTGAGAATTTTCAGGCACTCTTGGTTTCCAGGGGGATTGCAGGAAATGTTGGATTTTGAGAGGAATTGGCAGCTCAGGTCTTTGAGGGATGTGTTGTGACAGAGTTTTCAGGATGATTTATGTTTGCATCTAACTGCACTTTCAAATGGGCCTAGCAAACCACTCAATTTAAACGCAGTTAGGGATGGGTAACAAATTCTGTCCGTGTCAATGACCCTGCATCCATGAGAATTGGAGGGGAAAGGGAATAAATTAAGCTTTCAAAATAGATTATTCTGATCACAACAATCAAGTACTAGTGATGGTGTCTCTCAAAGATGTTTCAAGTGAATATCTGAAACATGATAAAGTAAAATCCGTTCTGTGTCTTTTAGTTGCTGAACAATTGTGTATTTGATGTTGGAAAGTGTGTAGATTGCATTGTTTTCAATTCCTGATTGACCAGTTTCAATTATTTCAATTGAAATCCTTTGTGAGCATCCTATTGGGGAGGTGTTAGTATAGTGGTGGTGTCACTGGACCTAGTGATCCAGAAACCCAGATTAATATTCTAGGAATTGGATTCAAATCCCACCACTGTAGATGGCGAAATTTGGATTTTAAGAAATACGGAATAAAAAGCTTGCCCAATGGTGGCCATGTAACCACTGTTGATTTCTGTAAAAATAAACATCTGGTTCATCAATGTCCTTCTTTGGGAAAAACAATTACCAGCTTTACCTGGTCTCACTAATGTGAGTCCAGACCTGAGTCTTAACTTCCCTCTGGCCAATAGCACTTGCATCTTGTGAATGTATTTTTAATGTACAGGATAATCTGTGGGTTTCAAAAAGGACTTTGTAGGACTGTTGGTTTTGGCAGTTTGGTTCACAAATACTCTGGAGATTTTCCAAGAATTTTCAGGCACACATCGTTTCCAGGAGGATTGCAGGAAATGTAGAAGTTTTGAAAGGGATTAGCAGCTCAGGTCTTTGAGGGATGTGTTGTGACAGTTTTCAAGATGACTTGTGTTGGAATTGAAAGATCGTCTAAGTACAGGTGAGCACTCTAGGGTTTTTGAGGGTTTTTTCAATGTAGAGGTTTTTCAATGTAAGGTGCAGCTCATCTACCTAGAACTTGATTCAGGTAGAGGGAGGAAGGTGACAGCATTTGGAGATGCTGCTGTCCCACCTAATTAAGTTGCCTGCCACCTTCAGGACCAGAAGATTCCACTCCATGAGATAAATCAACACCAGACTTTGAAAAGTTGGCATGGTGACATCAGCCCAAAGAAATGAGAACTTCTGGTTTAGGACTGACTACTGTTCTCTTCTGCATTAAGAGCACTCTGGAGATGTCCTTGAATTAGTTGCAGCCGTTAGATTTGTCAGTAATGCAGAATCCTGTAATACTACCTGTGAGTGGTGTGCCATTTTTAAAACCACCTACATATGTGATGATTAATGTGAACTCATTAAATTGCAGGTCACTACATGACTCAAGCACTAGTAAAGAATGAAACTCTGAAGAATGAATGTAGTGTTGGGTCCACATGTTTCCATTGGGAAGTAAAGGAAAATGTAATAGTTTCTTCAGGTAGTGAAAGGTGAGCAAATTGTCAAGTTTTTAAGACAATTAAATAGACTGGTGAGAGACATACTTTTATTGTATTACAATCTTAGCATTTTTAACAGAAATTTTACATTCCACTTTGCACATTTTTTAAAAGCCATAAATTAAATTAGTTATTCAGACAAGCTATGTACTGAATATTTTCTTTCAGTTGAATTTCTTTGCATCCAATTTTACATCACTCTGACCCCACTGTTTACCTGAAGTGATGAAAGAGGATCACAAAGAAAGGAAAAGTGGGATGATCTTCCGTGATGGGCTTGCATTGTATATACACAAAATGCTGGTTGAATTTTTTTTTTAGTCTGTTTACTTGTAAAGTATAATACTGTAAATGGAACAAGACTAAAGTATGAATGATCATCAGATGAATATTTACAAATTGAAATATCACCATTTTGTTGATGGCATATTGATAATTATTCCTTAGATTTCAGAACAAAAGTGTGCAGGATGGCAGTACTGGTGGCTTATTTTTGACTCCTTGCAGCATTGCAGACCATGTGTATATTAAAAAGCCTGGTATCGGTAATGAAACAGTAGAAGGAATTGTATCGAATTTTCGGTAGGTTTTCTTTTCTAGAGTTCCAATATTTAAAATTGCTCAATATCACAACTTAAATTTCAATTTGTGCCATGATTATTTCATATATATCACCAAGCTGCGTGTGTATATAAAGCTTTCCAAAAATTGTTTTCTGTCTTGCAAAGTGCTACCAAGTAAATTATACTGTAATTCAGAAGTTACATATTGAAGTTAAACATTGAAGGTCCCACTACATAACTGGTGGCATTTTATATTGTACTCAAAAGAATGAAACCATTGACCATTATATTTGTCATTCAAACAAAGCAAATAGGAGCACGAGCATATTATATATCCATTTTGAGCATTCTCCAGTATTCAGTAAAACCAAAAGAACTGCAGATGCTGTAAATCAGAAACAAAAACCGAAGTTGCTGGGAAAGCTCAGCAGGCCTGGTTTCTCTTCACAGATGCTGCCAGACTTGCTGAGCTTTTCCAGCAACTTCTGTTTTTGTTCAGTAAGATCAAGTCTGGTCCTTTCCATAAATTTTACTTTATCACATTTCACTCCTATTCTTGAATGAAAGAAAATGTTTTCCAAGCACTGGAGATCTGAAACAAACATAGAAAATACTGATGAATCTCACCAAGTCTGTCAGTGTCTGTGGAGAGAATGAAACAAGTTAATGTTTCAAAGCTGATATGACTACTTCAGAACTGAACAGAATAGAACCGAGTTACCTTGCTGTTAACCTTATTTTTTTCCCCACAGTTGCTGCAAGGACTCCTAGTCTTAATTCTCTTTGTGCCCTCATATCTATCAATGTCAGTCTCTGAACATACTTAGTGACTGTACAGCTTTGTGGAGTAGATAATTCCCAAGATTCACAGCTCACTCTTCTCTTTGTGATTGCAAATGACTGACATTTATCCTGCAACATAACCCCTAATATTGTCATATAAATAAATAATAGTTATCAGAAGAAATAACTAACAGAGGACTTTTTTGATTGTAAAGGAATCTCCTGAGTCACTTTCTACCACCAAATTACCATATTTCAAAAGAGAAGCTTAATTGTATGACAGCAGAAGAACTTGTTACTTTCCCCATGGTAAGTCTACTGTTATCAATTTACAGTATAACATATTAAAGTAAAAGAGTCCACTTTCCATAATCTATTTTATTGTATAGTCTTAAAAGTTAGTTTCTCTTGGCATTTTCTGTAGTTTATGTAAAAATAGTGGGGTTGAATCTTACATTTTTATTGCTGAGTGCGAATTACATCAAGTTTTTTTGGAGGAAATCTCACCACAAGGCCCAGTGAGATTCCTTGTCGTATCTTAGCAAGTACACCTCATTAACTACCCACCCTGCGTCTGTGGTATCTGTCACATCCTGTTCTATCCTCCTCTTGCCACATGCCATTTCCCAGGACAACTTCATTCTGGATATGTGCCAAAGGACAGGCATTCATTGCAGCTATGCCATCTTGGAGATGCTACTCTGAATGTGGATGTTAGCAATCCAGCAACGTCTCTCACCAGCAACATAATGGCACTGCAGCCAAAATAAAAGTATTCTCCCCACAGCACACATGGCTGACACAGTCTCGCACATATTACCCCATTCTCTCACTTAGTTGCCATTTAAACAACACACCCTGCAGTTTGCCTGTCCTTAGATGTATCCCATCTGAGCACCATCTCTGAGGCTCCGATACTTTTACCCCGATGCCCACTCATCACCTACATGTTGTCATTGTCCTCATGGGAACTTCCCGTGTAGGAAAGTTTTTGGACAAGTCCAAACATGAGCTTTATTGTTAGCCAGTGTGAACCAAATTGCTGGCATTTCAACCTTGACTGTTGAAACATGACCTTCTATACCCAGTTAGCATCTACTGGAACTGTCAATCAGGCCATGTCTGCCTTCTGGGCTCACAGCTGAGCTCTATAATCATTCGGGAGCCCTTCTTCCTCCCTAATGTCCTTGCCCTTCTCAGAAGACAACTCCATGTTCCACCAGTTTCTCATCACATCACCCTCTATGCATGCTGCAATTATACAAAACAGAGCATTCCAGGATGGAGCAACACACTCTGTTTGGACTATACTGGAGATCCTACTCCAGACCATTTTAAGCTGCAAAATCTGGCCATAAACAGTCCTATCATTTGTTCCACTACAGCCCAGCATGCAGCACGTGCATCAATTTGGTCAAGGTCCCAAGCCAGCTGAGTAACCAACATGCAGAAGAGTGCGTATTGCACTCTGACCTTTTTCCCATCCTAGACTTACTTCAAACTTTCAATTTTCCATTGCATTACTTAGAGTCTATTATCATACATTCATGACCTAATGAAATCCCTCATCCCACAGCACCCTTGGAACTTCCACAAGTGATGCATTGCTTTTGGCTAGTTTTTACCTTTTAAGTCATTGCTGCTAACTCCTTCATAACTGAGATGACAGTGTTTAGTGAGCACTAATGGCAAACTTGTAATCCATCTTTAATCAGTGTTTACACAGAAATATGTTCACTCTGCATGCATTGCTTATGTGTGAAGAAACGTTTGCAAATGAGATGAAGCAGGAGTTTGCAAATCCAAGTTTCATGTACTTGCCCCTTTTAAATTCTAACATCCAGCAAACATGGATCCCATGCTTTTGCCAATCAAAGTGACATTGACATGGCACATTCTGGGTGTTGTCTGAATAATTTTTTCAATTTCATTTTGCATTTCAAGAGCAGCAAAAGATGGCAGGGAATATAGTTCATGATTGGCACAATCAGCACCAGCCTCTGTCTGATCACCAGGCAATACTACCCCATGCCACCAAGAGCGTGTATATCCCCTTTTACCTCACAGTAACCCAGCAGCCATTTTCACCTGCAGTCAAGTGGGGAACTTGCTACACTGCTCATCAAAAGCTCCTGCTGTCATGAGAGTCTTCATCAGACCCATCATTTGATACTGTCACAAGTCTCACTATAGCCCACATTTCTCAGACCCCTTAAAATTCCACCCAGGTCTTAATAATCTCATACCATTGAGCTCAGCAATTAGCTAAGGCAGTGCCTGTGAATGGGACCTTTTGGGTGTCAAGGGAAATTACCTAATTAGCCTGCTATTAACAGGTCTTGCAACAAATGGGGACTTCCTCAAGACATTCATTATACTGAGTGTATTGGGAAGTCCAGTAGAGTATATCCCAATTGGATGGGGGAGGGTGCAGCAGGAAGCCAACCTCCCCTTCAGAAATGACTTTGTGGAGTTTCCATTTTAATGCACACTCTTAATTGGTTAAAATTGGTTGCCCTTCAGGATCCAGATTAAACCCCAACTCGGTCCTTTTCTCAATTCCAGTCTCCGAATTGCACCCTATTTCTACCAACGAAATGCAACATCTCCCTGAAAATCCAGCAAGCAGGAATTTTGAGATTTATTGCCCCGGTGTTGCCTTTACATTTTGTGGTTATGTTGAGAGTGTGTGATGGTTCTATTTACAATCATTTTAATTTCTATAATTTGGGTTTCTAATAACAAATTTCTGTGCATTTGTTCAATGCTGTTTTCTTTAATGCCTTTCCTCGAGAAATTTAAAGCTGCAATTTCAACTTTTATTATTTAACATGTGTTTACTGAATTTGTCTTCAATGGCGCGTAAGATGTCTTCTTCATTTATACCACCACATAGCCTCTGCTTCTGGAGCTTTCTTTTCACTAACACCTAAGTAAACGCAGAACTTTTCTAACTGCTGGGAGACTTATTAATAACAGCATTTCTGCTGTTGTACCTCTTCCTCCTGCATGAACCTGCTTCTGGCCTCTTTTTTTTTTAATCCCTCCTCTGTCTACCTCTCTCACACACACAACTCAAGTCAGCAAACTCTTGGCTTGCTAGTCATTTAGCTTAAATCACATGACTTCTGGTAAAGGCTGAACTCACTGTTCAAAATTAACTTCTAACCTTTTATTTAAAAAAGTATCAAAATTGAAAATGAAAATTGATCTTTCTTCCACTTTGGAGCCCAAATGCTCAAACTACAATGATATGAACGTTCATCACACTTCAAATTTGAATTGTGAAACAACATCGCTCCATTTATACATGTTTTCTTTTAATAGTCATAAGAGACACAAGAATCCCTTCCTATTTTGATTCTCATTTCCCCCTTCTGCTATTTTTTTTAAGTTTTTAATTCTTGGGTTCATCAATTTTAAACTTCACAACTTTTTGACTGTTTATTTGTTGGTTAGCTAATTATTGTGTGCTTACCTTTATGTAGCGTCACTATTTTTTCAATTATGAGAAGAGTTTAAGAGAACAACTCGAATCTTCATCTGAAAATTTGATCACAAGAGCTCAGGAAGCGGAGCAGAAAATACATCAGGCTGTGACAAAGCTGAAAAAAGCTAAAGAGAAATTGAATATTTATCAACAGATCACTGTACAATTATTGAACGAGGTCCATACTGTATGTAAATCTAGAATACTTTTTTTTCAAACTGGTAGTAATTACATTAATTTGGAAGTGGTTTTATTCCTGAACTCATGCAGTACTGAAGGGGTAGGTAAAGAAGGAGATTATGGATAGTAGGCCAGGACAGAAGGAAAGCGAATAAGTGATGATAAGAGTTAAGAGTGATAAAATGGGGTAGTCATGCTGAATGCAATATAATGTGATAATTCGCCTTGGGTATGTGGGAATGGGTGACTGTGCGTTAAGCAACCCATGTCATAATAGGACCGGCCGTGGGTGGTTAAAAAAACATGAAAGGATGGAATCGGGCTCTAAAGCTATTGAACTCAACGTTGAGTACAAGAAGCTACAGGGTCCTCAAGCAGAAAATGAGATGTTGTTCTTTGAGTTTGTGCTGAGGCTTGCTGGAACACTGCAGAAAGCCTGCAACAGAAATGTTGGTGTGGGAACATGGTAGTGTGTTGAAGTGGCAGACTTCTAGAAACTCAGGATCATTTTTGTGCACAGCGCATAGGGATTCTCTAAAATGGTCACCCAGTCTGTGTTGTGTCTCCTCAATCGAGAGGATACCACATTGTGAACAGTAAATACAATAGAAAAAACAGAAATTTCTGAAAAACGCTGCAGGTCTGGCAGTATCCATCAAAGTTGATGCTTCCTCAGGGTCACTGGACCAAAAACATTAACTCTGATTTCTCTCCATGGATACTGCCAGCCCTGCTTTTCTAGCAATTTCTGTTTTTGTTTCTGATTCCAGCGTATCCACTCTTTTTTGGTTTTTTTGTTTAGCAAATATAGTAGATTAGATTGAATGAAACACAGGGAAATTATTGCTTCACCTCGAAGGTTTGTCTTGGGCCTTGGATGGTGAGGATAGAGGAGGTAAATGGGCAGATATTATACCTTCTGCGATTGCTTGGGAAGGTGCTATGAGAGTGTGAGGAGATATTGGAAATGGAAGAGTATACCAGAGTGTACCAGAATGTCCCAGAAGGAATGGTCCCTGCAGAATGATAAGGGAAGGGTGTATGTGTCTGGTTGTGGCATCCTATTGGAGGTGACAGAAATCGCAGCTTACAATTCTTTGGATGTGGAGGTTGGTGGGGATGTAAGTGAGGACCTGGGGAGCCTTGTCTTGTTGTGTTAGGGAAGTGAAGGGATGAAGGCAGAAGTGCAGGAGATGGACTGAACACAGCTACGGGCCCTGTCGACCATGGTAGTGGGGAATCCTCAGTTGAGGAAAAAGATGGAGGTTTCGGAGGTGCCCCTGTGGATGGTGGCATCATCAGAACAGTTGAGATGGAGAAACTGCGAGAATGGGATGGAGTACTTACAGGAAGCAAGGCGTGAAGTTGTATAGTCGAGGTGACTGTGGGAGTCGGTGGGTTTGTAGTATATATCAATGGATGGCCTAATCCCAGAAATGAAAACAGTTATTGAAGAAGGGAAGGGAGAAATCTGATGGACCAGGTGAAAGTGAGGACAGGGTGGAATTTAGAAGGAAAATTGATCATTTTTTTTCACTACTAAATGAGAGAGGGAAGCCACACCAATGGTGTCATCGATGTATTGGAGAAAGTTGTGGAGAGGGACGTAAATAGGATTGAAACAAGAATGTTTCATGTATCTAACAGGGGAAGAAGCTGCCTGAGAATGTTACATTCATCTAAATGTCCTGTTTAATGAACCTTAGCTATGCTGTACACATCTCAGATATATCTAAGGGTCCAGGATTTCTCTACCAGAATATATACTTCTCCACTTAATAAATATATTGAAAGTAGGATTAATTAAAATTGTAACAGAAAAACTTAAGAAAAAATTTACTAATCTTACAATCTTATTACAACCAATACAATTTAAGTGGCCATTCCAAAAACTGTCAAAAAATGAAACATCAAATCTAGTAGAATCCAATTTGATGTATAACTATTCCTGGACGTCCCATTGTATCAGGCAATGGGACCCTGCATGAGAACTTCTCTGGCTACGTTGAGGGCATCTTGAATCCCATTGTTCAAGGAACTCCCAGCTTCTGTTGCAATACTACAGACTTCTGACAGAAACTCAATACCTATGGACCAGTTGAACTAGGAACATTCCTCATCACAATGGACATTTTAGCACTCTATACCTGCATCTCTCACGATGACGGCATCACTCCAACAGCCTCAGTACTCAACAATGACAACTACCAATTCTCAGATGTCATCTTACAACTCATCTGCTTCATCCTCAACCACAACGTCTTCACCTTTGACAACCAGTCCTTCATCTAGAACAGCCACAGGAACCCAATACGCCAACATTTTCATGCATACATTCGAGCAAAACTTCTTCACTGCACAGGACCTCCAATTAACTGACATACAACAGACACGTCGACATTTACTTCCTTTGGACTCATGGCAAGGAATCACTGAAATGACTACACAACGATATCAACAGGTTTCATTCCACAATCAGACCTAACATGGACTCCTCTTCAGAATCAGTCTAATTTTTGGACAAATGCATCTCCAAGGACAAACACCTCAGTATTTCACTCTCCCACAAACCCACAGATGACCACACAGTACTTCACGTCTCCAGATTCCATCCCAAACATGTTAAAGAAGCTATCCCCTACGGATAAGCCCTCCAAATACATAGGATCTGCTCAGACGAGGAGAAATGCGACAGATGCTGAACGATGATAAGCATGGGATACGATGCTCAACTCATTGATCGCCAGTTCCAACGTGCCACAGCAAAAAACGGCAACGACCTTCTCTGAAGACAGACACAGGACACAACCGATAAAGTACCCTTTGTCATCCAGTAATTCCCAGGAGTGAAGAAACTACATGTTCTTCGCAGCCTTCAACATGTCATCGATGATGAATATCTCACCAAAGCCATCCCTACACCTGCATTCTCACCTTCAAACAACCACCTAACTTCAAACAGCCACTTAATCTCAAACAGATCATCATTCGCAGCAAACTACCCAGCTTTCGGGAGACTAGCAACACAACACCACACAATCATGCCACAGTAACCTCTGCAAGACATGTCAGATCATCAACATGGAAACTACCATCACACATGGGAACACCACCCACCAGGTACGCTGCAGGAAAGGCATACCTAGGCATGGTATATCAATGAGACAATGCAGACGCCACAACAATAGATAAATGGACACTGCGGCAACCATTGCCAGGCAGGCATGTACCCTCCCAGGTGGGGAACACTTCAGTAGTCAAGGACATTCAGCATCCGTTCTTCGGGTAAGCATTCTCCAAGACAACATTCGAGATACACAACAACACAGAATTGGCGAGCAGAAACTGATAGCCAAGTTCCATACCCATGAGAACAGCCTCAATTGTGATCTTGGGTTCATGTCACGCTACATGTAACCCCACCATCTTGTTCTGTGTAAAATCTTCCTTACTGTTCTGTTTTGACACCATAACCTTGATAACTTGTTATTATCTGTCTACCTTAATTAGTTTGTACTGTTTTGGATTACTTGTTACTTTGGTTAGACCCTCGGCATGCAACTCTTACGTCTATCATGTCATTCCAGCCATTTTGTTTGTCTCTAGCACCGCCTTATTTTTGATTTTTTTGTAATTATTAATTGGATCATAGGTCATCCCTTCACTTGCTATTCAGCTGTTGACACTTTACTCACACTGTTTGACACTTTTGATCACCTGCAAAGACTTCCTGTCAACACTCCACTCAGACCATTTGTATTTGGTTTGACACTCTTAATTACCTGGAGTTATCTTGCCATTATCTTTCTGTATATAAATTCTGTGCCTGTGCGCATCCCTCCACTTTACCTGACAAAAGAGCAGCGTTTTGAAAGCTTGTGCTTTCATATAAACCTGCTGGACTATAACCTGGTGTTGTGTTATTTCTGACTTTGTCCATCCCAGTCTAACACTGGCATCTCCACATCAGGGTTTTGTTTTTAATGATAATGGTTAGTAGTTATATTATCTCCATTCAGCCAGTTTTTAAAAATTGAATTCAAATCTCCTTATCTGCCCTAATGGTATTCAAACCCAGTACATTATCTTGGATTTTGGATTACTAGTCCATTGACATTATCGTAACACCATTGCCTGATCCTAAGTGCAATTGTAGTGCTCAAGTCTGCTTTCTCCATCAGAATCCAGGAAATTCGAGTACCCTAGTTTCTTAAAATCCATCTCTTGTTAATCACCTTTGGTATACTATACTCATTACATCCAAATAGTGTCTGCCCAGGAAAATCAGTCCAAAATGAAGAGTGAAAAGAACACTGTTTTTATCCAACACATTTTTTTAATCAATTCATCTGACTCATGCCATTTGTGACCTGACAAATCATTTTTACCAGTAGAATTGAGCAATTGTGGATGCATGTACTGCACCATAGGGACAGTGCTGGCACACACCCCTCTGACCTTTTCGAGGTCAACTCCACTGACGTTTGCAGGGTCAGAGGAATTAACAGACTTAAGTATTCTACACAGTCATCTGAACTGGCAAAGGAGTTTGGGAAATCTTTTGGAAGGAACTGATACTAAATGGAGAAATAAACCACATGCGTTATTGCCAAGTTTGAATGTCATTGTTTTCTTGAAAGGTTTCATGTAATATTCTGATTTTTCTCTTTTTTTCATCAGCCAGTTACAAAGCAATCTGAAGATAACTGAATACTTGGAAGAGCTGCTTAAAACTTTGGAAGAGGAAGCGCAAATCTTCAAATGCATTCCTTGGCTACTTTTTCAGTATTATGCAAGTGATTTGTTCAGTTGGAAAGGCTGAATATCATAAGCTAATATTAAGGATCATTTTCAGTTTGCTAAGTTTAAAGACAAACATATTTATGTCTCCAGCAGAAAAAAATAGAACAAAATCAATCCTTTTGTTTACAAATCATGCCTTGTATTTTGTTAAATTTTTCTTATAGCAGAGAACTATTATATGACTGAAGAACATTACTACTCGGCTAATTTTTCATTTTACTTTTCACGCTTACTTGAATATGTGGTATATGAGCATGTCAAAATATTTTATTTAAGTGTTTAATGGTTTAAATATAAGACAGCCTAATCTTTGACTAGTAATGCTCTGAATCATGTTGGAGGCTAGAATATTCCTTTCATCCACACTTACAGGCACCTGTAATTTTATTAATCAAGGATATCTGAAACTTCAATTCAGCTGTTGTTAAAATATCCTGTATTTGACTTTTGATAATTTAAAAATGGTTTGGGATGATTGGTAAAAGTGGACTATCAGTGCATGTTTAAGATTTCGATGCACTTATTTTTCTGTTTTTCAAATAATGTTCTGACTAAGTTAGAGTTTTTTGTCATTTTAAAAAAATGTACTATATTCTTAGCTAAATAATCAAGAAGGTCAAACAGATTTTCTACCTTGTAAGATAAGTACTTACAGCTGTTTGTTCAGATATTGTTTTGAAATGTTGTTCGAGAGAATTAAAAAAATTGATTCAGCCTTTGACCTCAGAATTAACCAATTTTTTTCTTCTTTCAAATGTGTCACTCATGATACAATATCCAAAAATAGCATCAACAACACATCAGAAGGTTAGTTTGACAGGTTGGAACTACTTTTAAGTGTACCTCGCTTGGAATTCAACCCCTATACTACTATCTCTGTTTCTGGACCATCATTGACAGCAATTACATGATTCTGTAGTCGGAATTTTCTTCCATGGCACTGATCCATCTGTTCCTACTTTTGAAAATGTTCTCAACTATACCTGTCGCTGTAAAGACCATAGAGTCATAGTCATACAGCATGGAAATAGAGCCTTTGGTCTAACTTGTCAAAACATTTGTCTTGTAGACTAGAAAAATATGGAATGGATACTGCTTTAGACAAAGGGAATGGTGGAAGATGATGTTGCAGTTTAAAAATTAGTTACTGGAACCAGTAGTGAGTTATATATTCACTGTTGCCTTACTCAAGTTGAGTGGGAACATGTGGCTATACACTCTGGCTATGTGTGTCTGTATTCAGGGCAGTTTTGCCCAGAGATGATCCTTTGGCTTTGATCATTTGCTGTGGGCTCAGCTGAGTAAGCAGCTGGATCTCTTTGTCTTCCACCTGTGTGGAGAAATATTGGAAAATTTAAGGGTGGCACAGTGGTCAACACTACTGCCTGTCAGCACCAGGAGCACAGGTTCAATTCCAGCCTTAGGCAACTGCCTGCATGGAATTTGCACGTTCTCCCGTGTCTGTTTGTTTTCCTCCAGGGTACTCTGGACTGTGGGTGGAAACCAAAGATGTGCAGGTTAGGTGGATTGGCCATGCTGAATTGCCCATAGTGTCCAGGGGTGTGCAAGTGAGGTGGGTTAGCCATGGTAAATGTGAGGTTACAGGGATAGATGGGGTTGTGACTAGTTGGGATGCTCTTTGGAAGATTGGTACAGACTTGATGGACGGAATGGCCTCTATCTGCACTGTGGGGTTTTTGTGTTCCTGGTTGCTGTTCTCACTCACCATTTCCCTGCAAACTGCTGTTCTGCAAATTCTCTTGTTAAAAGGAAAGGGAGGAGAAATCACCTTTAAAGGCATTGAAAGGTTGAATCCTCAACTAGAGAATGGAAGACAGAATTGGGGTGTACGTAACCTTGTGTTATTTGCAAAGAATGATGTGTTTGAAGGCAAGATAGGCTGAGCCTGTATCCTTTGGAGTTTAGAGTCAGAGGTGAGTTAATTGAAACATATAATATCCTGAAGGGACTTTATCTGATGGATGTGGAAACAATATTTACTCTTGTGGGAAGTTCTAGAACTAGGAGTCAGTTTAAAAATCCAGGATCGCTAATTTAAGACATAAAGGAAAAAATTGTCTGAGGATTGAGTCTGTGGAATTTCCTTCCTCAAAAGGCAGTGGATGCAGAATGTTTAAATATTTTTAAGACAGAAGTAGATAGATTCTTGATTACCAATGAAAGATTATCAGTGAAATGCAGGAATGTAGAGTTGAGGTTAAAATCAGATCAGTCACAATCTTATTGAATGGTGGAGCAGGTTCGAAGGATTGAGTTGCCTACCTTTGTAAATACCTGCTACACCACGGGTTCTTTATAAGCCTTTCTTGAGACCTACTGTATCATTATCAAGAACTACCTTTTGGTTTTCAGAGATTCTGTTTTTCATTCTCACTAACTCCTTTAGTAGGTGATGTAGTAAGATTATCTGCCATACGCAGGGAATATGGACTCGTGGAAGGACTGGAAGAATTCAACTATATTCTCGGTCTTCACTGCTCCATTAAACAATGACAAAATGCAGCGTTATTTCAACACACTACAATAAACTGCAGAATGTCAGTTACAACTCCATAACCTTCTGTTCCATTATACAGTACTTCGTATACTCGTTCAGTTTCTTAGGAAGGTAACCCATTGACTTCTCCATTCCTGAATCACCGTCTTGTTATAAAACAGCACCCAACCCAAGCCACTAGCATCAATTGCCATTTTAAAAGGCTTAGTAAAGTTGGGGGCAGTCAGCAGTGTGTTATTTATTAAGATTGCCTTCAGCTTCTCAAAAACCATTTGGTGCTATTTCTAACTCCAACAGGACAAGACAGGTAAACACAGGAAGAGAGCTCCCAATGACTGGGAGTTCAGAATGAAGTGTCACAGTCTAAAGATACAAGTTAAGCCATTTATGACAAGAGGAGAAATTTCTACACCCAGAGTGTTAAACCTGTGGAATTCTCTATTGTTTTCAAGAAATTAGACATTGTTCTTCGGTTTAAATGCTATGGTGAGGAAGTAGGAAGAGGGTATTGAGATGATCAGCCATGATTATAATAAATGGTGGAGCAGGGCCAAATTGTCTACTCGTGTTTCTGTTTTCTATGTTTTATATTTCTAATTTTTGCGAACTTGTTACTTGATATACCTAGTTCTTCATGTAATTCTTCTAGTCCTAAATGATATGTCAATGTAAATTAGCTCTGGCTTCTTGGTTTTTACAGGAAATGCTACTTTTAATTCCTTTGTCAAATTTATTGCTTTTGTTTTACAATACTTAACTAAGGTGATCAGGGATACATCTTCCATATGCAGGATGCATTTAGCTGTTTCCAATGCCATCTTATCTAATAGTATGAGAAACTTTATATCTCTCCTATCGGTTACTAATTACTCATTTCATGTTAAATCTTATGTCTGCATTCACAAATCTTACATTGCCCCCCCCTCAACTTCTGTTACAAACTCCTTGAAGATTGCTGTGGAAATGAACTCACATTTGTGATTGCTCATGGAATAGTATAATTGACCAGTTGAATTAGTAGGGTGGTTAGTTTGCTGGACTTTGAGCTACTGTCTATGACATGACACTTGCACCCCCAGATCTCATTAGTAAATAGAAAAAAAAGTATTTACTATAGACAAACGTATCCGTTAACAAGGGAAAATATGTTACCTACTACTTTCATTCTCAAATAGGACATATAAGACAGACTGCTCGGCAGAAAAGTCATGAGGGAAGGGAAAACAAATAGAAAAAGTAACAAAATCTTTGAGTCCAAACTGCAAAGTGTCCAATTAGATAATTTTCTCATAGTTTTTTTCTTGGTTTTTGGCAATAGCACATTGTTGGAAGATCAATTCGGGCTGGTCAGTTAGATCTCGGCCTGAGTTAGAAGTACGTCTTTTCAGGGTCTTTTTATCCATTTCCAGGATTTCAGTTTTTTTGGGTGCAAATTTACCCCCTCTGTGTATTTTGAATGTTGGCACAGACCCAGCTTCTTTGCTGAGTTTCCAATCACAAAGAGTACATTTTTGGCGTTCAGAAATGACCCTGACCTTTTAGGTATTTACCACTTTAATTCACTGCCTTGTTCTCAACGTCCAGTGCAATTAAAGCGAGGTTTGAGGAACAGCACCTCCTCTGTGGGACCTGACTGACTTCTGGACCACCCCCCTCTATTTTGATTACTTTTGCCATGCAAATGTTGTGTCTCTTTACCAGCTATCCCTGTTTGCCTTTCAGTTCATGATATCTTTACATTCCCTTTGCAGTTTTCTGGTTAGGCTCCTCCTCCTCCAGCATATAACTCATCAAATCTCCAATCTGTAATTCTGAGAGAGTCAGTATTTCTCGCTCTTCGTTAATGCTGCAGCACGCATTTTGTTGGGGGGGGGGTGTGTAGTTAGATCAGTTTCCCCCCCTTACGCATGCGAGGTGCGCGTGCGTGTTCGGCCAGCTCGGAGCGTGCTGTGACGTGCTGACGCTGGTGAGCAAATCAGAGGCCGGTTGTCCTCGGGTTTGAACGAGCGGCAGTTGGAGGCGGTTTTGGCCATGGCGGGGAACAAGTTGCTGATCACTGACGGGCTTCAGCGCAACGGCTGCAAGTTCAGGAGGACAATGGAGCGAATATTCCTGAAGGTAGTGAGAAGCTTGGTGCTGCCTGGGCCCGCTGCCCCCCTGAGTTTGTACACGTCAGCTTGTCAGGCGCCTTTAACCGGGCGCGAGTCGGTGCATTGCTGCTGCCGCCGCCACATTGTGCGGATCTGTAGCCGGTCCCCTGCGAGTGGGGAAGGACATTGGGGTGGGCTGGGGCTGGTTTGAGAGAGGGCATTGCTCCATTTATGTACCCCCCCCACTCTAAAAGGGAAAAATCTCTGAATTTTCCAAGTTTCAATGTCACCACTTCTCATTCTTCTAAATTCTAGCGAATGCAGGTCCATTTCCCCCTGAATCTCTAAACATATGAACGTATACATGCATACATATAAAATAGGAGCAGGAGTAGACTACTTGGTCTTCGAGCCTGCTGTACGATTCACTAAGATAATGTACACTGTACGCATGTATCACTATACACGTGCCATCCGAGAAGTTGGTCTGGTGAACTTCAACTTCACTCCTTCAATGGCAAATATATACCTCCTTTAGGAGATTGCAACTGCACATTATTCTGGGTGCAGTCTCACTAAGGTCCTATACAATTGAAGCAAAATGTCCTCAGTCCTGAGCTCAATTTCTTGTGTAATAAAGGCTAACATAACATTTGCTTCCTAATTGTTTGCTGCACCTGTATGCTATCTTGCAGTGACTTATGTACATAGAAAAGAGGGGCTGCGGTGGCACAGTGCTAGTGTCTCTATCTCTGACACAAGAAGCCTGGGTTAACGACCTACATGTTCCAAAGATATGTCATAACATCTCTAAATAGGTAGATTAAAAATGCCTGTCATAGACTCCCAGGTCCCTTTGAGCGTAGTTTCCCTATCACTCACCA